CTTTCATGATAATGGAACTGTTGCTGTTGCTAGGGATTTTTTGTATGTTATCATAAGGTAGCGGCTTGTACATGAAGCATATCGTACTAAAAAGTTGTTGGGAATATTAACTGGGCCACTGCTTTTTTTAGTGTCTAAGTTAAGTATCAAATTTAGAATGCCTTCTTCAGATAAACATACGTCACCAATTGAGGGTGCAGGGTTGGCCAGTGAAAAGGTAGGTGTTTGAAAATTATCAATGGTTAAAACAGATTTAAAATAAGAATTAAATGCATTGGCTATTGTGACGGGATCGCTTGTGGAGGCTCCATCAATGTCCATTGTGTTTGGTTCCGTTGAACTCGGCAAGATGGAGCTCCAAAATTTTCTTGGATTTGTTACCATCAGGTTTTTCATTGTCACTTGGTAATAGAAATCTTTGGCGGCTTTCGTTCTGGCTCTTAATTCCTCTTTAAGTTTATTGAACTCATTTAGTGACGGGGAGGTCTGACGTCTAATCGAACAATGTAACCTTTTTACGTGACGTGTCAGTTGTAACAACTCCCTCGTCATCCATGGCAACCGAACATTTTTTTTTCTTAGTTTTTATTGGAATAAAGCGGGTGATACAAGAATGCACAAGACTTTCAACGAAAGAAACCAAATCGTTGACGTCGCTAGAATCACTAAGCCGCACAAAATTTTCAAATGAATCCTCTAGAACTGTTAGGATACTGACGTCATCTGCACGGTTAAAGTCATGGTGAGTTGAATACACAATATTCGGTGTGGGTACACGACATGAGAGTGAGACGAAAACAGCTTTATGATCGGAAATTCCTTCAGTGACAAGGCAGGTAAATGTGCTTCCTAAGAGAGTAGGGCTAACAAAGACTAAATCTAGAACTGCAGACTCTCTTGTAAATTCTCGAACAACTTGGGTTAGGCCGAGAAACAGAGAAAATTTCAGCAGCTCTGTGTCTGTTAGAGAGGGCGAATAGCTTAAAGACAGGGTGGATCAATGAATTCCAGGCGCGTTAAAGTCTCCCATAAGGATTATATTTCCGCTACTGTAGTTATGCTCACTAATAAAATTTGTCAAGGTGATCAAAGAATCCGCTGACGATCCCGGAGGTCGGTAAAAAACGCCTATTATGATAGTGATGTGCTCAAAGTAAAATTTGCACCACACTGACTCTATTCCGATAGGCCCTTGAATTGCACGAAACTTCAAGTCTAAATAAAAACATTTCTGCCGGAGTACCATAATAAATGATGAATGATGGACAGCAATCAGCGATTAGTACAGTAGGACTAAAGCGACGCGTGAAACTGCCACACTTGTAACACATTCGATGTATGAATATGTCTTATGTAGTTGTCTCATAATTTATGTTTACGTCTCCTCATGAACCCAGCTTTTAAGAAAGATGGGTATAATAATATATTATTAATAAAATTTTCTATGCCGTCAGCAGTTTTGAAGCTTAAAATTTGAAGTGGTGAATTTATTACACCTTGCATTCACTTTCAGGATGCTGTGTTCAGCAAGCAGCCATTTTGTCCTCTGCTCATATCTCAAGTGCTATTTGTGTACTTTCTTTGTATAACCCTCGCGCGTTTGTGGAAAAACCGGCCTGTTTGGCCAGTGTTTCAACGAACGGGTGAGGGAGCGTTGCTTGGCGGTCAGCTGCAGCATCTGTGTGCACTTGGCAAATCACTGCAAGCGCTTTGGCTGTGTGCCACTCTTCAGCCCAAAAGTAAAGCAATCAACTACATAGAAAAAGAAAAAAAATTACGGCGTTCTTGATTGAAAAAGCAGGTAGCCAGTGTGTTAATGCCCCATCACCAGATCTGGCTGAAAAAGAAGCGACTTTTTGTTAGCACAAAAGTGTTTAAGTCTGCGTTGCCCACGGCTGCGCTGACGTATTTCCGTCGCGGATATGGCGTTGTAAAATATATGATAACAAATAAGAAAGAAAAAAAGAAGAAAATGTTTTGTCGCGGTGCGTCGAACCAGAGACCTCGCAGTCCGCAGCACCACGCTCTGCCGAGTGGGACGTGTCCGCACCATGGAGCGGAACGACAAGCCATTTATACACCATACACCAACCATTCGGCGGTCGTAGGATCTTCTACACTTCAGCGCGTTTTTGTCAGCAGTGGTGAAATGGCGCCAAGGGCGCGCATTGACCCCGCTCTAAAGGTCTTTGTCTCTCGCATCTCGGAGATCACCGCCTCCACGGAACATTGTCTTCCCTCTACGCGCGCTTATCATACTCGTGATTCGGGGTGCACGAAAGTCACTCAACTCGCTGCCAGTAACCTTTGAGAAATGAGCACGCTGCTGAGACCCGAAGATGGAAGAATTGTGACAGTTGTGTACGCTTGTCCTGTGTATTTTCTGTGATCCTTCCGTGTCTTTGTTTGAAATGCGTGCTTTACGTGTCAAGCTGTGACAGTTATTCTTGTTATTCTTATGCATACTCATTTTGTGCGTCCTTTGAACGTGAGGTTGCAATGGAAGTTTCGAGCTCTTTGCCATCCTTCGCGTGACTTTGCAATTTGTTGCTGTAGCATTTATTCCGTCGTCGTTGTGGTGAAATATTGAACAATAAGCGCTCCACTACCGCTGTGAAGACACGTTTTACTACTGTGTAATAGCGATTCTTAAAAAAAAGAAGGTCTATGGCATTTTGTGTTCTATCAAACAATCGTGTTTTATGCCAGGGTCCACCATAGCCTCACCCACGTACTTCCGTCATGGAAGTACGTGGCTCACGTTGAAAATATTTACAAAGAAATTGCGAAGATAAAACAAGCATGTGTCGCACGGAACCGAACCAGCAACCTCTCAGCGCACGACACTATCCACTAAACGCAGAGCATACGCTGTCAGGAGAGCTTACGGCAAGCAGTTCATATACGTCATACACTGTTTTGGCAGTCCTCACAGGTTAAAAATCTTTAGCGCGTTTTCGTTACCAATGGCGAGATAGCACGAGAAGATCACAGTAGGCGCACTCTAATGCCTAGTTCACACTGAAACATCCGTTTTCTACAGCGACCGAAATTTTCCTGCCGCCGAAACGCAGCGTCGTTCGCACTGGACGCGCCCCGTGCCGCCGAATATGCCATCTACTACGGGGCGAACGCAGTATGAATGCGCTGTCACCCGGTTGTTGTCGCGGTTCGCAAACGCTACCCCGCTATCCGGTGGTGTATACTTCGACGATTCTCGTACGCAAGAAACAAGAAAAGACAGTACTGCTTACTTTGCTGGCAAGTGGCTGTCTTGTAATGCAAGAAGAGCAGAAAAACCACCGATGCCAGCGGCGTTGGTGGGTTCGTTTTGCTCTGCAAGACCGCAACAAGCTCGGTCACGCCAACGGCAAGCTCGGTCACCTCTTCCACGAAATACGGACGCGATGTAGGCACAGAGTAGGTTAAACTCCCGTTGGTTTTAACATTCAGTTACGTGCACTGCGCCATAACAAGTGAGTAGGGCTTGGCCACCATTTTTCAAAATTCCTTGACTAGCGCTCCTATTGGTCCGCGGTGACCGATTCGGCGGCAGACGCCGCAAAAATCGGTCCGAGAGCAATCGGCGCGGAGAGGGCCCTTTCGGCGGATCTCGCTGCCGCCGAACCGGATTCGGAGCACTTTCGGCGGCCGGAATGCTCAGTGTGAACGCGGCCTAAAGGTTGTTGCCTCCACGAAGCGCCGCCTGCACGGATCGTGGCTTCTCCTGCGCACGCGCTTATCAGACTCGTATTCGGGAGAGCAGGAAGGTCACTGCATAGGCTCTCACGGCCACGTTTACGAATGACGCATGCTTTCAAGACACGACGCAAGACAAATTGTAATAAGTGTTCACGCTTGTCCTGTGTATACTTGTGCGCTTGTTTCGCACGTATTTCTTTATGCTTGAAGAGCGTGCTTTAATGTCGAGCTGTCACAGCTGTTGGTCCACTCTCATGCTGTTTACGCGTGCGTGTTGGTCCACTCTCGTCCTGTTTTGCGCGTGCATCCTGCTTTAGGTGAGCGCTGCAAGTTTTGAGCTGTTTGCCATTCCTAAAGGAACTTTGCAATTTGCCGCTGTCGCTGAAGCAATGCACAATAAACGCCTAACAGCTCCGAGAAGACATGTTTCACTTTCGTGTTATACCAATTCCTCTTATACCTCTTTCCTGTTATATCAATCAGCCAAGTCTTTTTTAAGATAGCCTGTGTATTTATTTTTAAGTTCAGATTGGTGCAGCCAATTTTTCGGTACCCCATGGTTCCAAGAGAAGGCAAGCGGGTTAGGGGGAGACAGAAGGCTAGGTGGGCAGGTGAGATTAAGAAGTTTGCGTGTATAAAGTGGCAGCAGCAAGCACAGGACCGGGTTAACTGGCGGAACATGGGAGAGGCCTTTGTCCTGCAGTGGACGTAGTCGGGCTGATGATGATGATGATGATTGTGATGATGGTTGATACTACTTATGAGCACCAGCGTGTTTTACAGTTTTCTTTAATGGTGTTCCCGGCCCAGGCCCGACTCTGCCTAAGCGGCTCATAATGATTTCTTTATTTTGCGATGTGTCTGTTTCTGTTGAGATTACCTTGTTTCACAGCCGCTATATATTGACGTGGTTTCTGTGACTAAACAGTCTTGAGTTGTCAACCACGTTTGCCAGTTCGTTTCTTCTCTTCTCCCCCATACTGTCAGTAGCGCACGTGTTTTTCCTTAAGTATATTTGAACCACATAACTCTTCAACAATCCCTGTTAACTATGTGTTTCACTTACTATCTTGAATGTTTCTTACCATTTGAACAATGGTTCAATTAACCTTTAAGCTACACGTTCGACAAGCATGCATGATGTGGGATATCTTCTGCGGAAGCAAAAAAAAAAAAACGCTCAATCAGTCAGTCATTCAAGCGAAATTTTTTTTCTGATCTGGGATTGATTTATGTGACGTGCTTCTTTGTGCGTGAATGACGTCTCTAACACCCACACTGTCTTTTCTCACGCAGATCTGACTGGCTACACGCGCCGGCAGGTTAAGTTTCTGATACCAGGAGTGTGCGCCGTTAATAAGGTTGAAAGATACGATGACACATGTAAGGACTTTTTTATGCATTCTCGAGTGACGTATTTTTATATCGTAAATTGATTCTTCATCGTGAACTAGACTGCACTTCTGCTGTTATCAGAATAAAAAACACCTTGTTTCTTTGAAGCAGCTCTAAGACACACGTAATAGGACTACAGCGATCGAATGTTGTTACTTAGAGACGAAAAGAATCTATCGTCAAAAGTTTATTTTTCATAACATAACTTCGGGTATAAAGGTGCTTCAGATGTGTTCTTGCAACAGATGTATTGTAATGTAACACGTAGGATAGTAAGTTGCACTCGTGGCAAATCACCAGCTTCCGTGAAAAATGTGATAGCTTATTAGACTTCACCATGCTATTGAAAAAAAGAGGAATTCCTACTATCTACACGACCACTATATTTTTATTATTGTGTGACCACACGAGTCTTACACTTTTTTCTAGAAGATTATCATTGCAGTAATAAAATATGCAAATATATACGATAATGTCCTTTTAGAGCGTGCTCAGACATCGTAAAAAATTCCGAGTGACAAATGACTGTCAAACATCAACGTGCAGATGCAAAGCACACCAAATTACGAGTAGACATTGTTACCTTAGGTGACAGTATCAACCTGGGTGAGGGCTGTTTGTGAACATCGGTGGCGTGTAATGCCCATTGTAATAATCGTAGATATCTTTTGATGCCTTCGCGCATACAGAGTACTAGTTTATATGAAGTGTATGCTAATCATAAAAATATAGAGAACCATACTAGCTACTGTCAGGGTCAGATTCGCTGAATGAGCACTCCATTTAGCCGGTAAACCCTGAAAGCCGCAAAGTAACGAGTATTCTTCTTTTTTACACAAATTTGTTTTATGCTGAGCTCCACCATTGCCCTGCTGGCGTACATCCGTCACTAATTCAACGCAGCGACGAAATGTACAATAACAGATGGCAAAGAAGGAAGGCTGCAGCACACGATCTCTAACTCCTCTGCGCGTGGTGCGAATGACTTGGTCAGGAACCGTACATGGTTTGCAGTACGAACCGTGAACGATTATAGCTCCGCGCACCTCGGTAGTTTGGTCGTATTGTGCTGGCGTAGCAGTTCCAGAGAGCACGAAGGTCACCTGCCTCGCTGCACTTGCCGCGTTTGCGAAAGAACCGTTTTGCTCAGACAGAAAGAAGTAACTGTGGCACTTGTCATTTGGCGCTGGCATGTGCAATTATATTCAGGCGCAAGTTACAAAACACCAAGTCGTCAACATTTTTGAAAGCCTCTACTGCGGCGTCTTCTATACCCATATCGTGGTTTCGCGACATAAAACCCCAGATGTTATTGTCAGTTCACGCTTCTATTCTACATACTTATGTACTCGTTTTGTGCGTTATTTAGGTTTGAGCAGGATGTTTTGAGTGTCGAGCTGTGATAGTTTTTCTCTCGTGAAGTTCTCTCGTGAAACCTTTACGCGTGAGGTGTGTGCTGCGAGTTTCAAGATGCGTGTCGTTCTTTGCATCACAATACACTAGTTGCGAGAAATTTCAACTTTTTGCACTTGAGGCGAAGCGATGTGCAATAAACGTTCAACAATCTCTATGAAGAAACATTTTACTTTCGTGTTTTAGCGATTGCTATGACACGTGTTTCAGCCAAGTTTTTAAGATAACCATGCGCCACTTGCTAAAACAAACTACCCGGTCGGCACAGGCCAACCCTAATTGGGTTAAAACTTTCACATCTCACGCAATGCGAGTAGTTGAGTTTATTGTGAAACTGACGCGTTCACTTGCGATTCTTTCATCATGTTTTGGCGAAACAAGCATGACCTGTTTCATCAATGATCTGATTTTGAAGCGAACGACAATTCTATACGCGGTGCTGCCGTTTTACTGAGTGTTACGCGCTTGTGCAATAGGGGCTAGTTGCATTTGTGGACACATGCATCATCATTAAATAACTGAGTCAATAACAATCTGGTTGTCATCTCTTTACCTTCACAACCACGCGATAATTTCCAACAAAAGTGTTTCTGGACAGTGACAAAATTTTAGGTGAAGCCTGAGCAGCCAACCCAGTATATCGATTGTGGTGATTCCCTATAGTCATAATGAAATAAAAGACTTTGTTGTAGGCTGGTAATTTTTTGCCGAGCTTGTGATAAACAGTGTGAGGATTAGTGTGTGTGTTTAATTGAAAAGGCAGAGGGAGAGAGACGATGGTTACACACACCAAGTTGTTGTAGCTTTAGTGAATTGGTTGTAACGCTTATTGCCTTCCGATATTCTTACTGAAATGAGGCAAAAGTCATGATGTGATGTGATGCGCGCGTGAAAGATCAACAGTGCTCCGGTACGATGCGGGATAGAACAAGACGATCTCGATGATGCTCGTGCGAAATAGCATGAACATGGCCAGTGGCAGAGAGGAGGAAAAAATCACAGCATATCCATGAAGTGATTGATGGTGAGTGGGGCGAAGCATATGTCCGTCTGTGTGTTCATTCGTCACGCGTCTGGATGGGCGCACAGACTAACGCATGGACAGACGCACGCATGAGCGGACGGAAGAACAGACGAATGAATGGACCGACGGACTCACGCATAAACGTATGGATGCACAGACGGACAGACGCACGGATGGATTGAAGCCCGGATGGTGGCACGGACGGACGGATGGAAGCTCGGACTGACATACAGACGAACGTAGAAAAGCACTGACGCTAGGATGGACATACAGAAGCACGGACGAACAGATGGACGTACGGAAGCATGGTCGGACAGACAGATGAATGGACGGATAGACGGACGGACAGAAGCACGGAAAGACTGACAGACGGACAGAAGCAGGGAAAGGCTGACAGACTGACGGACGGATGGAAGCTGCACTCCTGGACGAACGGGCTAACGGACGGACGCACAGATGGTTGGACGAAAAGATGGGCGGAAGGACGCTTCACTCACTCATCATCATTCACTCCGTGAATTTGCTATGAAAACCGGTAACGTCACCTAATTATATTATTCCCAAGGACATATACACACAACGCCATCTATTGAGCAAGTCATGAAATAGACGTGGCTACATACTACACACGAAAGAGGGAACGACCTACGGCCTAAGAAGCTTCACCCCTAAAAGAGCGGTGTGCGGAAGAGAGGGAAGGGGGAGACGTTTGGCATTCGACGCAGTCGGGTGTCCTGGCTTGAGTGGCGACATCGGAGACGTGGTACACGTGTTGGTGCGACGAGCTTAGCCTAGACGTTGACGTTCCGGGTCTGAAACACCCTCCTTCGCCAAGGCTACACGCGTACTTGGTAACCTGCGCAAGCCGTGGTCTCTTCAAGCCAGCCTGCACCCCTCGTCTCTGCGCAACGTCATCGCATCATCCAAAGTGTTCGACTCCCCAACTGGTGACCCTGTGTCCGCTTAGAGACTCAGTTAATGCTAGGACGCAATAACTAGAATATAGTTTATTCAAATAATATAGGTTATTCAAAGAATATAGTTTATTCTTCTTTGTTTGCTTTGTATGCTGTGTGTAAGTGAGTGCTCACTTTTTCTTCAAGTTTTTTATAAAGATTTTTTAAACCTGGAAGCAGCTTTGCCATTTTCTGATGAACTTTTTCGTCACTAACCCAACGTCCTCCGTAGAATACCAACATTCCACCAATCCCATCACAATGACCTGACAGGCGGACAGTTCCTTCTTATGTGGAGTGTGTTCATAAAAATCATTAGGTCTATCTTGTGTACATTCAGAGTGGCAAGTTATGACCTGGTAAATCTATATTTGATAAGTAGCTCACTTGTTTTATAGAGGTTGCCAGTGCTTCTCAGTGTTTTATATCCTTCACAAGAGACCGCGATTGCCATATTTTTAAGTTTTTATTTAGCTTTTGTGTAACACCGTTCAATATCTTCACGCCATGCCCATTCAGCGCAAACTACACGTTACGAGCCTTTTGGTGGTAGTGAAGTGTTAAAGGTACTAACACGCGATAAATTTTCTCCATTTCCAGTTCCCCCAAACTATGAGCTTCTTGTTAAAGATAGTATGCTGGATGGACCTCCCCGAATTTGCCTTAAAAGGTATCAGAAGTTCGTGAACCAAACAGGCAGACCCAGCAAGCCTGTATATAACAAAGAGTGCGAAAGAAACTTAAAAGTAATCAGAAGAAATACCAGTCATTTCTGGATGTTCTGATAAAAGGAGCCATACTCTTCAAAAATATGAAGAATAAATATTACCATGCAAAACTATGTTTATTTTCATCTCAATGCTACTGGAATACACTCGCAAAATGTGTTACAGGAGCTTCCATTCTCATGAAGCCCCGCTTGACATGTCTAGGTGCACTCGTGGATATACACGAGACAATAAGGTATGCTCTCCGGCTAGTTGGTCCATAGCTTGGTAAAACGTCGTTTGCGCGAAACATTAAAGAAGACGAAGGAAGTAGAAAATAACCGTATTTTGTAAAGAGTGCTCGTGTGAACCGTTCCTCAACAGCATGAGTATCTTATGAAGAAGCAAAGACAAAGTCACACGTGAACTGGCAGAGGCGACGTACATTAAGCAATTTGGTGAACAATGTATCAGTGCCCGTTGTTGTATATATTTGATAGTTTGCTTTTTCATTTGACAGGCTGTGATGAATTGTTCTTTGTGCTTTTCTTGTGTTTGTACGCATGCGTGAGGGTTTGAGAAGATGAGCTGTCGTTCAATAAAAGTCAGTTGCGAGTGTGCGCTCGTCCGTCTCTCTTATTTCGTCTTGTTTCATGCTTCACGCCAACGACGTTTAACCCAGATCAACGGGAGACTTTACGGTTACGTAATGGATATACCTTCATTACCACCGTCTTCCAGTCCGGTTACGCCAGCCTAATTTCGACTTTAAGTTTGATTGCAGCTTCATTCAGCAGTACTAGCGGTGATAGCGTGATGGTGTATGCATGAGTGACTCTTCCGTCTCGGCTTCACAGGTTTGGTTGTGAAACGCCTTTTTTATTTCAATCAATACCAGTGCCAACGCGCGCTTTCAAACGGGAGCCGTTGACCCACCTTAGTCAATGAGTGGTTAGCCCCGCCACGATGGTCTAGCGGCTAATGTACTCAGCTGCTCACCCGCAGGACGCGGGATCGATTCCCGGAAGCGGCTGCTGCATTTTCAATGAAGGCGCAACAGTATGTCCGTGTGCTTAGATTTGAATGCACGCTACTCAACCCCAGGTTGTCCAACTTCCGGAGCCCTCCACTACGGCACCTCTCATGATCATATGGTAGTTTTGAGAAGCTCAACCCCACATACCAATCAGTCAATGAAGAGGTCGTGATGCGACGCTACATGGTGCGTAGCGCTGCTTGCGCCAACGTGCCTTACGAGCGTCACAAGTGCTTCGGAGAGGCGATAGACCTGTTTCTCACTGCAATACCATACGTCTATAAGATTTGTTTCTTCTTGCTCTTTTTTGTGGCTCAAAGCAATGCCACGGTCAAATCACAGCGCAGCGCGAGCATAGCGTTGCAGTGACACTACGCCGTTGCTTGCCCGCATAGCGCCATGAACGGTGACACGTCGTCTCAAATCTTCGTATCTTTTAAAGACCAAGCGTGACCACCAAAATTGTGAACACAAAGAGTGAAAGATGCCGCCCCATGATTCTATGGGGCAGCGTCTTCGTCGTGCGATACTACATGCAGGTTTTCTTTCCCTACGACAGCAAAGTACAAGTGAAAGGTAGGCGATGAGCAAGAGCAGGAAATGGCATGATGAGGGTGTTGAATGGCTGGTTTGCGTGAATATAGCTGGGATTTATAAAATAGAGGAGGCCTTTGCTTGTAATATTGGCCTGCCAGCGGAATTTTTCAGCACGTGGACTAGTGCCTCTGCGCTTGCAAGTAGACGACCTAATTTCCAGCGGCGTGCATCGCCTGACTTTTGGAGTAATTCTGTCAGCTCGCCGCTGCCCTTGGACCTGCGCGTGTGCCTGATCACCTACAGCTTGACTATATAAACGTCCTCCCTCCTTCAGCAGGACCAGCAGCAGCAGCAGTGGCGGTGACATTGCGACAGTCAGTGTATGCAGCATGTTTGATTTCTTCGTCTCGGCTTCAAAGGTTCTTGCACATTTTTCTGTTTGTGTATTGACATTAATTTATGTTAAGCTTAGATATTAGGTTGCTGTTACTACAAGTGTTATGTTTTAACTACGCCCACTGCTGTCAAACTGCCTAAGCGCGTGTAATCTCTGCAAAACACGTTTAAAGACCGACATGATAATCTTTTTGACAACCTAACGAAAATGTTGTGTCCAAGCTTAATCCCAGCATTCCTTGATCATAAGAGGGTAAAGTAAGAAATTGAGGGACTAACAAACCAGTCTTGTTTTTCTAAACAAGACTGCCGAGTTTCTCAGATACGAAAAGAAAAAAAAACTGCAATGAACAAGTCTCTCATGGTACGTAACGAGTACTTGGAAATGTGAAACGGTGACTCGGAAGAAAACTTATAAAAAGCAGCCTGGAAATAAAGAGTGTTCTGTTTCGTAAGGGTGAAAACTGCATTACCGTCCTTCAAATTATTGCCTTTAAAATACATTAGAATGTCTCTGTTAGCAATATCGAAGTAGCGCAGCGTTTTCCGCCATGGTGGTCTAGTAGCTAGTGTACTTGGCTGCTGACCCGCAGGTCGCGGAATCAGATTCCGGCTGGGGTGACAGCAGTTTTGATGGAGGCGAAAATGCTGTTGGCCCATGTGCTCAAATTTGGGCGCACCTTAAAGAACCACGGGTGGTAGAAATTTCCGGAACCCTCTACAATGGCGTTTCTTGAAATCATATGGTGGTTTTATGACGTTAAGCCCAGATATCAATCAATCCAAGTTGTGCATCGGGTTCCATCTGCACCTGATACAGAGCACTTGCTTGTCCGATTTCGCGCTTGCGTCTTGAAAACTGGCTTCATAGGCAAAGCCCGAAAAGCACGTTCTAATACAACCGTCATCAGCTCAAACCCAGGCACTTTCGTGGAACACGAGTGTTCTACCAACGAAAATTGGGTGATTCAACGTGTAGTTTTCAAAAAACAAAAACAAAAACTTGAAGCTTGTTCGCAGTGCAAGTGATACCTTAAATAAGGAAACGCTGCCTACATGCAAAAGTAATACTACGCAAGATCATGGAGAATCCTGATAACTTCTGTCATAAAAATGGCGCTTCAACATGAACAACATTACACAAGGTAGACAAGACAATGTCAATGACCAGGTTAGGTAACAAAAGAAGAGCGTAAAGATTTATCATTATATGACACAACGAACAAAAAAATACAGCGAATTCACCGAGTAAATGATGATGAGTGAGGCAAAGCGTGCATCAGTCCATCCATGCTTTCAGTCCGTCCGTTCGTTCTTGCTTTCGTCCGTCCATCCATCTAGTGAACACTCCAAGTACCACCATCTCCCATTTTTTTCATCATATTCTGGACGAAAACGATGATGTGGGGATTTAGCGGACACCAGGTAGTGGGCCTCTGGCTTGACTCGAGGACAAAGAAGACAATCTTGTGGCTCAGTTTTGGGACATTGCCACAGGGATGCTTTCAATGCCGTTTGCGATTATATTCAGGCAACCAAGCGTATACCTTTGTGATCTTCAATCAAATAATAATTATTAATTACTCCCCCCAAAATTATTCTAAATGGCAAAGTAAAGTAAACGCAGCAGAGTGGTAATCACAACACCTGAAATCTCAAAGTTTTCCAACTTGACTTTTCTACTTTTTTTCTCGTTGGCTCTCTTCTTATGTGGTTTTCCCTGTATTAGTCATACTATAATACAAATTCATTACACATAGTTAAAATGATTACAGAAAAACTGCACTACGCTTTCTTGGCCAATCCTCCTGAGTGGGTATGAGCCATCAGTCCAGGGAAACAACAAACAAAGAAACAAACAAACAAACAGTCTCAGCTGTTGAGAACACGCTGCTTTTGCTGTCTCAAGGCGTACCTGTGCTTTGTTCGCGTTGGACTGCGACAATATAGAAGTACCGCTATCCAGCGGACATTCCAAGGACCAAAGAGATATGGCTACCTTTCGCAACGACGACGACTACAACTATTACTACAACTATTACTATATACGTCACGGACGCACGACCCACGCCTTAAGAAGCTTCGCCCCTAAAAAGCGCTCCATAGCATAAGTATAACATTTTCTTTTGCTTGTTCATCATAAACTTGTACAGATGCGATATATTTTACAATATCTGCATTGGTTTATTCCACCAACAACTATCTTGTAGCGGCGAATCCTCCAACGAGCTGGCTACGTACTACATGCATCGGGGACGACTGACCCCCACCGTAAGGAGATTCGCCCCTAGAAGTGTCCCTCCCCAGTATTTCGTTTTTGGGCGTTTTTTGGATTACTGAGTTGTAGGAGGGATGCATTTAGCTATTGTGGAAAGGAAAGAAAGGCAGTTTTTTTCTATTGTCCCACTTGAAAGGTTTGAATGTCATTCGCTGCTCGCGGACGAACACTGTGAGAAAAATTAAAAGCGCCTCTTATTGCACAAATGCTCATGTTTTTCTTTGCTTACACGCCTCCCGACAAGCGCTGACACTGTTGAATTGGTTCGCACTTATCAGACACCTGATGCATGGAACAGGTTCTACTATAGTGGCTTTTACACAGTATCCACGGCTGCTCACCAGTATTTGGGTGAAGTATTGAAAGCGCAGCTGCTACGAGTTACAGCTCTTCAGCTTTTGGTCATCGACATCCTCGATTATATCCGCCTTCTTTTGATGATAGGCACCACTCAACGCACGCAGCTTCGTCAGGAAACACGGCCACATCATAACCGTCGTCATCCGGACACAGGCCGTGCGGAAAGCCTCACTGAACGCAGTTTTAGGCCCGAGAATACCTGCCAGTTGTGCCAGAATCGTTGCCTACGAACGTTCGCAAAAGGAAATAAATCATTGTCATCATTGCGAGTTCCACTCGAGTGAAACTTGTGCGAACAGCACAGCAGGAATTCCACTGTGTTTAATGATGTCTATCTGGTCTTTTCTGCACTTTTCGGCGCTTTGCGTAGGACTCCGATATATCATATTACTTTGTGTTATTATCGAGTGTTTCCCATTGAAAATATGTCCGCCAGATATGTGATAGACTCCACCATCCACCAACACGGTAGGATTACGGCACTGGAATTGGTGGCTTGTGTTGTATAGTGGATGTACGGTGGTTGA